CTCTATCCCAGTCACATTACGCATCAAATTTTATCTGACAATTGCACACTTTGCCGCAGGTGCTTGCGTACTGACACTTGTGCACAGTTACGGTGGGAAGCATTGCAGCCTGCTTGCAAAGGTCTGCACAGTGTGCAGTGTCTTCATTGTGGTCAGACTGAGAGGAATTTCATTACATGGCTAGGCATTTCTTCTTTCCCTGGGGAATAGACAAGGTGAATGCAATACCTTCCACTTTAAAGCAACCACAAAACTTCATAATCCTAACCTCAAAATCGACTCCTAAATTTACACAGAGAACCGGAAGCCTTGAGCCGCCGGCAGCTGCCCGTTTGATCCTGGTGACATGCCAAAAAGGGAGAGAGGGTTCAGAGGAGGGCCAAGGGGTCACTCCACACTTCAATCTTTCTCTTCTTACCTTCCTCTCAACTCTGTCTTCCCACCGTTTGGTAAATAACCATTTTAGTAACCCCAGACACCACACATTCTAGAACACAGAGGAAAGTGTCTCTCCTCATTGATGCTGACAAGCCCTTTGGTCAGAAAGTGTCCCTCAACAGATGTGAAAGGTGTACAATCAAAAACCAGAGAAAGTAGTTTTATTTCTACCTCTCTAAATTCTACTGGATATGGTCTAGTCTATTCTACCTTCCAACCCCCACATTCACAAACCCTTGAGGATTCAGGATACAGGAAAAGCAGTTACAGCTTTGAGATAAATCGTTGAGTGTATTCTAACAAAAGCCACCTCTCCTCCCAAAAGGAAATAGAAGAATAACGTCAAAGACACTTCGGAAACAATAGCAGCGATAAAAGCAGGTGCTTATGATGTAGCTCAGCTGGGAAAGTCGTTTGCTACCATTCCCACAGCACAGGGTTCAATCCCCAGCACCACATAAAACTAGACGTGGTGGCCTAAGCCTGTAACTCTAGCAGCACTTAAGAGGTACAGGAGGACCAGAAGTTCAAGGCCATCTTCAGCTATGTAATAAAGTTTTGAGGCCTGCCTGAAATATGTGAGTCCCCGAGGAGGTGACTCAGTGGGTACCACACTTCTGGGACCCACGTGGCAGAAAGGAGAGAAGTGGCTGGGAAGTGGAGGTGCACATCTTGTAACCCCAGCCCTCGGGAGGCAGAAACAGGGGGATCTCTGGGAGTTTGAGGCCAGCCTGGTCTACACATAGTTCCTGGACAGTCCGGGCTATGCAGAGAAACTCTGCCTCAAAACAAAACAAAAAAACACAACCAAAACAAAACAGAAAGAAAGAACTGCCTCCTGAAAGCTGTACTCTGACCCCTCTTTAAAACAAAGCAATTAAGTCTGTCCTTGCCTTCCACCTTGTTAAGGTAAAGTCTTGAGGTTGCTGGCCTGCGAGCTCTGGGGTGATTCTCCTGTCACCGCACTGGCTGCTTTATTTGACTTCCCAGAACTGAACGCAGTGGTCCAGCTCCTGGCATGTGATTTTGCACACCGAGCTCCCTCCCTGGTTCTAGTTACTTCTTGATGGGACACCATGCCTGACAAATGTAACTTAGGAAGGCAAGGTTTCCTTCAACTCACTGAGGGGGTGTAGTCCATCATGGCAGGAAATGGAGGAAGGGAGAAATAACTACAATGGGGTGAGCCATGTGTGAGATGGCTCGTTACCTTGCCTTTACAGGAAGGGGACAGAGGGGGAGGGGAGGGGAGAGGAGTGGGGACCAGACAGGGAGAAGAGAGAGAGAGAGAGAGAGAGAGAGAGAGAGAGAGAGA